GATGCACATTGTCGAATTCAGGCTGAAAAAGGGTGAAAAAAGTGTTTGAAGTTGATGCAGAGGCCAGATCGCGATCCAGAATCACCGGATCGCGATCTGGTGGCAAATTCCAGTAGCAGCGAAAAGTTGGGGCAGATCGCGATCCGCACTTCCTGGATCGCGATCTGGGAAGGCGGTGGGCAGTTTTCGAGGTTGCCAGATCGCGATCCAAGAATCCCAGATCGCGATCTGGGCACAAAAATCGAGACTAGATATTTTTCTTTGATTTTTCACTATAAATAGAAGGTCTCTTTTTCATTTTTCAATATCTCGATTATCTCTCGACTTCTTCTTCGGTTTTCTCTTCGGTTCTCGCCAGTTCTTCGCGGGAAGCTTCGACGAGGGTTTCGACTCGGGTTTTTCATAAGCTTTTCTTTACGTTTAGTTTATAATTTCTCGTGTTCTTCATTTTGATGCTATGTTTGTAATGAACTAAGCATTTTCTTTTAGGGAAATGAAACCTTGTATATATTGATTTTGATTTCCAGATCTGTGATCTTTTTGTCGTTCTTTGATTCTGTTTATGTTTTCCTGTATTAAATGCTTTCGATTGTTTGGCCAACAGTTGAATTGATTGTAAATGGGGATGAACTCGAGAGAGGATTTCTCGTTTGATTTTAGGAAAACATAGCTCGGGTTGTGGAAACGGAGACGTGATGCACCTCGGGTAGCCCTTAAGGACTTGACCTAAATGCTCTCTTAATATCAGGTTCTGAACGGAGACGTCGGACCTGTGGGTAGACTCTAACTACACTGGAGACGGGGGTTAGGGTACTTTAGTGTCTGGGTTAGCGAACATAGAATTGACATTAGATTCGGATTTGTAGATCTTTATCGATAGTACACTGGTGGATTTTACCCTAGAAGCCATCACACGTCGGAATTCCTCGATTATACTGGCGGACCGTTGTTTTTATTTTTGTTTCCTTTTTGCTTCATTTCATCCCCCATTATTTCCTTCGTCTAGATAGAGTTTAGGATAGTATAATTACGGTACTTGGTAGATTTAGGAACTTAATTCCCTGTGGATCGATATCTGGAATTCACTATTCTACAAAACGCGATACTGTACACTTGCGGTTATTTATACGTAGGTTTTACGCGTATCAAGTTTTTGGCGCCGTTGCCGGGGAATTAGTTAATCTTGAATTTACTAATATCGTTACCAACTATCGTTACTTTACTTTAGACAATTTTTTTTCTTTTGATTTATTTTTTTATTTTTATAGCAGATTTGTATACATCGATGGCCTCGATTTATGATCTCTCTCTTTGCAAGATTCAATCCAGAGCTGATTACATTCAACATGAGTTGGAGGATATTGAAAGACATCGAAGGTTGAACCCAGAAAATGGAATTGCACAAACAAATGAGCACTTCTGCTATCTACAAGAAGAACTCCACTTTTTGGCAAATATTTTCGAAAATTTCAAGAGATGTCACATTCACAAACCACATCCGACCATCCTTTATGAAGACAACGAGGTATTTACAGATTTTCGTATAAACGATGAGGTTGAGCACCTTGAGGGAATTATTCATCCCAGTTCTGTAGATACTTTACGTGTGATGAGAGTGGGATGAAGATGATGGTAGAGGAACTTGACGAACATAATCCTATCCACATTGCTATTCCAGATTTGAGTGTGAGCGAGGAGACGAGTTTCAAATTTGAGGTAGAGCTTTCTCCAAAGCTCGAATATCTTGTATACGAATTTGAGAGATCGGTAGGCAAGCAACCCATCCTAGTCTCCTACCGACTGATTTCCAAAGCAAACGAAAAGTACCATGGGTTGGGATGGTCATTAAAAGATTGCAATCTAGTCCATGATATGATTGCAAAGTATGTATCAAGATTGACGGATGGATGCGCAATCTACAAGGCTTTGGATTGGACATAATCCGTCCAAATTGTGTCGAGCCGTCGACAGTAAAACAGGCGTTGAATGGGAGGCAACCCATTGTTTATTTATCTTCCTTTTTTCTTTGTTTTTGTCGTTTTTGCATTTTTTTTGTTTTTTTTTTTTGGTTTAAGCTAGATTTCACCCATTTTCTTGACTTTTGCCGGTATCTCGTCCCCAAGGAAAGAAGAGTAAGAAGTCGGGAAGTCTAGACAATTCCGGCAATTCGCCCTCGGTGCCAAAATTGACGGCACCCCGTGCAACCAAAGAACACTTTCGCAACCGTAGAACACTGATCAATCTGCGGCAGGACTGTTCAGGGCGTATTTCTTTCTCTTTTCTTTTATTTTTCGCATTGAGGGCAATGCATGATTTAAGTTTGGGGGTGAATTTAGCTTATTTTGATTTGGTCTTTTGCATGCATATCATATAATTTAGTTTCATTTATGTATTTCAATTTCCGTAATTGTGTTATGTTTGTCGCATGCATCTCATTTAGGATCGAGTGTAAGTTGCATTTCCGGATTCTATTGAAGCAAAGCAATTAATGAATTAGTAGATGGGCTAGTTGATTTTAAAATTGAAATTGTGGATAACCGGCTAATTATAGATGAACCTTCCGACTGCGTTTTTGCAACTTGTGTGGATAGCCTTTCGAATCCTTTCCGATTAAGCTTGAGCACACTTTTCTGAGGGGTATAATAGTCTGAGGTTTGGGGGGCGAGTTAGAATTGAATTATGTGTTCACGATTTCCAGTTGTTGGCTAAAAGTTCTATCAATGGTCTTTACGTTTTTCTTTTATGTTTTTTGTTTAAAAAAAAAAAAAAAAAAAAAAAAAAAAAAAAGAAGAGAAAAATAATAATTTGTGGTATTGTTGTGATTCACGCTCTGATTTCCCCGCCTTTCTGACTCGAGCTTAACCCGTTGGGTGCACCTCGTCACCTAAGTCCCTCGAGCTTTCGAGCTTGGGGGTTTCTTGGACTAAAGTTCGATACATGGGTCAGGGAGATAACACAGTGGTGTCGAGCCTTGCACGAGTCACAATTATGCCCATTTCAAAAAAAAAAAAATGAAAAAAGAAAGAAGTTGTGATGAAAATCACCAACAATGTTGTTGTTGTCGTTTCTTATTGAATAAATAGACCTACTTATGCCCAACTCGAGTTTTTGAATTTCAGAATCAAAACTTGCTTTTCACCCACATTTCTACTCAAAACCCTCGATAATTGTGTTTATTGTTTAATTACGGATTCTTGAGTCTATCTTTCATTTTGGTGTAGAAACAACTAATTGCGTCGGTAGGAAAGTCAAATACCTTAAAGTCGTGGGCCATTATGAGATTTTAGGTTATCTAGCTCGTTTTATCTTTGGAATTAATTGCAATGCTTTGACCAATCCGGCAACTTTGTGGGTGTGTTGTCTGAAAACCCTCACGAGACACAACTCGTCCTTTGGGGGTACCCAGGGGTTCAACGGCTTGTTGCATACGCTAAATGCAATCGTGTTTCCCTACGTTAGTGGCCTAGGTTTAGTTTGTTGTTTCTTTTTCCTTTTTGTTGTTCTTTCGTTTTGATTTACTCGGGACGAGTAAAGATCTAAGTTTGAGGGTGTGATAAGTGTTCATTTTGCATGATTTTCACTTATCAATTCTTCGAGTTTTGGTCCTCGTTCGTCCGAGTTTTCGGCTTTATTTGTATATATTATGTTGTTTTTGTTTTATTTATATTTTAGGTAAAGAGAAGCTATTTTTGCCGATTCGAAACGATTTTGGAAGCGAAGCCGAGAACCAAACCAAACACGTGCAAAAGTGCATTCTCGCGGATTGTGGCAGTGTTTGGTATTTCGAGCATAACTTTTGCATACGACCTCCGATTGGGCTGATTCAAGTGGATTTAGAAAGCTAACTTCAAGGGCTACAACTTTTGAGAAATGCACAATTGTCGAATTCAGGCTGAAAAAGGGTGAAAAAAGTGTTTGAAGTTGATGCAGAGGCCAGATCGCGATCCAGAATCACCGGATCGCGATCTGGTGGCAAATTCCAGTAGCAGCGAAAAGTTGGGGCAGATCGCGATCCGCACTTCCTGGATCGCGATCTGGGAAGGCGGTGGGCAGTTTTCGAGGTTGCCAGATCGCGATCCAAGAATCCCAGATCGCGATCTGGGCACAAAAATCGAGACTAGATATTTTTCTTTGATTTTTCACTATAAATAGAAGGTCTCTTTTTCATTTTTCAATATCTCGATTATCTCTCGATTATCTCTCGACTTCTTCTTCGGTTTTCTCTTCGGTTCTCGCCAGTTCTTCGCGGGAAGCTTCGACGAGGGTTTCGACTCGGGTTTTTCATAAGCTTTTCTTTACGTTTAGTTTATAATTTCTCGTGTTCTTCATTTTGATGCTATGTTTGTAATGAACTAAGCATTTTCTTTTAGGGAAATGAAACCTTGTATATATTGATTTTGATTTCCAGATCTGTGATCTTTTTGTCGTTCTTTGATTCTGTTTATGTTTTCATGTATTAAATGCTTTCGATTGTTTGGCCAACAGTTGAATTGATTCTAAATGGGAATGAACTCGAGAGAGGATTTCTCGTTTGATTTTAGGAAAACATAGCTCGGGTTGTGGAAACGGAGACGTGATGCACCTCGGGTAGCCCTTAAGGACTTGACATAAATGCTCTCTTAATATCAGGTTCTGAACGGAGACGTCGGACCTGTGGGTAGACTCTAACTACACTGGAGACGGGGGTTAGGGTACTTTAGTGTCTGGGTTAGCGAACATAGAATTGACATTAGATTCGGATTTGTAAATCTTTATCGATAGTACACTGGTGGATTTTACCCTAGAAGCCATCACACGTCGGAATTCTTCGTTTGTCTTGGCGGACCGGTGTTTTTACTTTGTTTCTTTTTAGTTTT